CGCTGCGAGCTCACGGGCCGCCTTCGGCCGGATGGTGGCCGCTACACGCCGTCAGCTTGCTCGCAAACCCGCTCCTGCAGTCCCACAGAAAAGCCCCTCATGTCCACAGTCGTCACCCCTACCGCACTGCTCCTCAGGTAAGCTGCTCTAGCAGATTCCCTTTTCCCCCCCATATTTAATCCAGATAACACGCTTTCTGGAGGAATGTGCTGTTTCATCCGTCTTTGAACCTAGGAGCCGCATTTTAGGTCCATCAGAGCCAAGAACTGACCAACAGGCGTACCCATATCTGTATATGGGTGTCTATATATAAAAAATAAATAAATTTAACAAAGCTTGTATAACAAAAAATCATAATGCTGCAGTTACTAATACAGCTACAAGTGATACAGGAGTAAATGTAGTTGCTGAGCATGCAACAAGTTACCTTTAAATTATGCAAATACAGATGGAATAAAATGGTGCCACGAACACAAAGAAACAGACTGCATGTTCTAAGGACAGCACAGCATTTGAGCAACATCTGTCCCACTTTCCTCATCCAACGCAACATGTAGCTACCTGCCCAAGACTTTAGGCACTAGAAGAACCCACAACAAATATATGCCTTAATATTTAGAGCATACTGTAAGTTTTATTAGCATATATTAATACAACTTAGGGTCTCAATTAAGCAATAAAACACCTCAACTACCCAACATTTGTCTCCTGAACTTAACCTCTGCATTAAAGGTCACGCCAGACTGCCTTTCCTGGGATGGAAGCGTGTGGACAGTTGCAGTTTGATGGATTTCCAGCTTCACAACAAATCCCAGAGCGACCGCAGCCTGCGGCGGCTCCTCAGCCGACCAGCCAACAGCATTGCCCCAGAGCTCCCAGTTCAGAACAGGGACGCGTCCTCAGAACTGAGGACCATCAGTCAGACATAACGTGAAAGACTTCAAACATCTCAAATTCTTCAGTTTTGCTGCAGAGCAAATGATGGAGGAGAGCGGGTGCTGCTTTCGTTTGGTGCCACTGTCTTGAAATTCAAGTCCTTCATTAAAGTTTCCATCTGCATTCAGACTACCGAAGCTGACATTGTAACTTCCTTTTCTCAGACAGGAAAGCGAGCGTATGGCAAGAAACGCAGAAACAAAAGGAATGCTGCTTTCCCCCCTTCTCATATGTCATGAATTGTAAGACTGCCTTTGCCCAACCAGGCTGCCCGAACGTAATCGCAAGGTACATCTTTGGAACAAAGCACAAACCCCCAGACCTGACCACGTTCTTGGAACGTAACTGAAATGCCTCCCCCCCCCCAGATTTAAATAAAAGTATCTACATACACATCAATTTTATGCCCTTGAATTATTCACTTTTCTTTTGCAAATTCTCACACATCATTTTGCAAAATTTATCACTGGAATTGGGTACTACAATATAGTGCTTAAAACCCATGTACTAAAATAATGTCATGAGCTTTCTGTATAAAGATTGGCATGTAAAAATAAAAGTTATAGAAACATAAGTTTGTGAAAACTTTTAATAAAGGACCTTTAACTGAAGACCTAGAACAACAGATTAATCGCTGCAATGCTGCTAAGTACGTACACTAAGAATCTTATCAAGAAACACATTTAACAAAATAGAGGTAGACGATAGCAATACATTCCGCACCAAAATGAACCTAATCCTTTAATATCTGCATGATGGGCAACAATTTTTCCAGAGATATTTAATAAAGATTATGATTTCATTTGTCTAAGACAAATTATGATGACGCCATCTTACTTTCTACAGTTGTTTTTTTTTAGAAAAAATGATGTTAACAATGAAAAAATATTGTGAAGTTACTAGTTTGCATACCCATTCACTCTTTTAACCAGTGATTTATAAACAAATCTTAAAAATCACAGCTGACTTAGGAAAAGTAGTTGACCAAATCGCCTTGAGAGAAAACTCCAGTAATATTAATAGGATTTTAACCTACAGTATTCTATGCTGCCATGCAATATCACCCACGTATTAATTCCGAGGATATCTTCATCTATCCTAGACTAGAAATTCTCAAGAGAATTTTGCTATGCCTATACAATAAAGAAAAAGATGGCGAATTCCTAAGTACTGAACAGTGATTCCTTTGACAAAAAAACGTGGCACTTGGCAAGGTAACGTGAAATGAGAAAAAACACTGAAGCTCCTGTTTAGCTTCATGGATAAAGAGAGCTTGAGCAGCGCTCTCTTTCTCTCCCACTCAACACAAAGCCTACTATAACTTTTTTGAAGCCTTGGAAAAAGGAATTAATTCTGCCAGGCCTTGACCAAACAACTCATCAGGCACCTGGACAGTTAACAGTAGTTTTCTGACTCCATTAGAAAGCCTTTAGAGAAATTAAGGCTTAACAAATTTGTTAGAGATGTTTGAGTATTCAAATAGGTGCTCTCTTTGAAACTTGCTACGAGTCCACCAAAAAGTTACATTATCCAGTTCTATCCTTTCCTCCACTAGCATGAATAGGTTGAGTAAAAATAACCAGTCTGCTTTTAAAGCTCTTTTTGAAACAGCTACAGACCTTCTTTAAGCATAAATATAGAGATTATTAAAGGCTTCTCTGCAGCTACCTTCCACTGCGTATTTCAACCGGAACACCATTTAGTCCTCTGCCAGAACGTGTGGGATGTAAAATAAGAGGCACTTCTACGGCTCCAAAGGATAGGAAGAGGACTTCATCCTTCAGAAAACAAGTACTTTCCATAGCTAGTTTTATTCTCAGTTATATCATAATGAAACGCTGGCAATTATTTCCTTCAATGCTATGGCAGCAGGTTTTCAACCCAGCAACAAATTTAGGATCAACACTGTATTCAGCAGTAAATCATTGTCCTACAGAGAAAGATCTCCAGAATGCATAGTGTCAGCAAGTTTCACGATATATATTCAAGACATGTTCTATTTCAAGTATCAGTGAAATTTCATCTAGAGGGACTCCATCAATAAATAAGAACATATTTGTAACTTTTGTTTTCACCGGTATCAGCTACTATCAGCAGAAAAAACTCGCATCTTAGTATATAAAAGTGATGGCAAACATGAACAGAAAGAATTAAATACACAAGTGTGTGACATTAAATGCAGTGGCTTAAGTAGGATTTTTTCATTTTCTTTTAAAGTGCTTAGTGGGATCCACCATCAAAACATGCTTGTATTAAGACAGCTGCTACTACGGTCGATATCACAGGAATACAGAAACTAAGACACTCATACTATCACTGTGACTTACTTAAATATTCAAAAAAATTCCAACGGCCCATATATTTAGATACAGAAATCTTTTATATACAACCTAAGAACATGTTACACTCAGATTATTAGAATAAGCCTGTTCTGCCACAATTTACAAAGTGACAAAGCCCACAGTAAAGCAGTTGCTTTACCACAGTAATGTAAACATATCCAAAAGAAAAATATGCTAACAGTTTCAGGGATGGCTTCCAATCAGTAAAACCAAAGTGAACGGGCACATCAATCTTTTGTCTCTGCAAGGCTTAGCTCACAAGCTCGGGCTGTACATTTATTCTTTGAAGGACATCTTCTGGCATACAAAAGACAGGATTGACGGCCTTAATTTGTTCTTCTCCTAATAAAGAGAGTCCAGCAATTCCAAATAAGGTGTGAAATGGATCCACCTAGGGGAAGAAGAAACATTTTTATGTCCATTTCCAAAAGTCAATCAGCCTTTCATTTGGATGTGACAAAGCTTACGTTTGTTAGTAAAGAGACCTGCAAGTCCCCACAGCTGAACTTTTAGAAGACACGGCAACTGAATAAACTCTCCGTGCTCTTGACTGCCACCACACGTAACTGAAAAGTTTACTTTCCACTGCATACATTTGCAATACTATAATTTGCTCAGAGATGTTTATAAATGGTTTGCTGCTAAGACA